AAATGAATTAGAGGTATATCAGTTTGTTTGGGGGGGGGATTTCTTTGAAGTACTGTTGAATAAAAAAAGTAAGATGCAGGAAAATGTATTTACCATGATCCTGTTTTTATAAAACAATGATACATGCATGTGTATTTGCATATAATTTAAATGTGTCTATCAATGATAATTATAGAGAAAACACACAGAAGGTGTTACTAAACACACATAGATATGAGAATGTTTCAAGTTACCTAGGATCAAAGAGGAGGGTTGGTGCAAGCTAATATGGGTGGTGCAGGAATGGAGGAGGGAGCCAAGCCCATGTTACCTGCCCCCACCCCCGCCCCTCCCCCAAATTACAAAGCAAGGGCCTTTGGAAGGGGACTCTTACCCTGCGGCCTAGCCCCTTTCCCCCCACGATGCTTGACTCCTGGGACCCCTCCTTTGGCCATCCCTCCCACCAATCTATATGTGGCCTTCCATATTTTTCTCCATGATTCTAGAATAGGGCAGCCAAGGCATTGAGAGGGAGAGAAGACAGAGGGTCCCAGTGTAGGGGGCTGCTTTCAGGACATGAAAATTGGCCTCAGGATCTAGAGTGTGGTTCTTACTCTCCTGGGCATTTTGGCAAATCCACGGGAATGAGGGCAACAGGCGAAAAGGACTATTATTAATCCACTCTCTCATCTTTTTTTTTTTTTTTAAGATTTTCTTTATTTATTTGACAGAGAGAGATAGCGAGAGCAGGAACACAAGCAGGGGGAGTGGGAGAGGGAGAAGCAGGCTGCCCACCAAGCAGGGAGCCCGATGTGGGGCTCGATCCCAGGACCCCGGGGCCATGACCTGAGCCGAAGGCAGACGATTAACGACTGAGCCACCCAGGCGCCCCTATCCACTCTCTCCTCTTAAGTCCTCCTCCAGGCTCGGCTTACAGCTGGCGTCCTCAGAGAGGACATCTCAGTTACACCTCGCCTTCGTTTCCCCGCATAGCCATTCCGTCCTTATCCGTGTGCGCGTGTGTGTGCCCACGGCCCGGTGTGAACATCCGTTTCCTCCAGCAGACAGCGAGTACGGCGAGGGGCGGGACCTTGTACGCACGGCACCTAACGTGGTGTGTAGCAGGGGCTTAAGAAAAATAAATGTCAGTTGAATGTAGTAATTCACTTACTCCCTTATTCTCCTCTTCATTGACTCACTCTTCCATTCATTCCTTTATGCATGTATTCCCTTATTCATTCCAGAAACATGTGCTATTGGCCAGTGATGTTTCCCCTGATCTGGGTCTTCTACTTTCTGGGGTGGCTTTTGGTGTGTGCGGGGTGGGTGTGGTTGGGACATGACTGCAGAATTTCAGGAACACGTCCACGACTTGGATGAGTTGGAAGCTCTCCAGGGAAGGAAAGAAGATTCCAGAAGGCTGGAAGTTTGGGGTGGAAGGTGCTAAAGAACCAGAGAGGACAAAGTCGGGAGACTCCTCTCTGCCCCGTCCAGACCCAGGTTTGCTGGTTCCCGTTCGCTCTGCCTGGGAAGAACCTCTCCCCACCTCCGAGTGTTGAAATCCTACCCTTCCCTGCCTGGCCAGCCCAGATGTCCTCGAAGTCTGCTCTCCTCCAGCTGGAAGGGCCGCTCCCTGCTGCAAACAATCTTCCCGAGCACAAAATCTGGACCTCCCTCGTGGCGCTGACCACTTCCCGCTTGTGATGTGGTGTGGCCTCGCCTTCCACCCAATAGGCAGAGGCCCTGTCTGACTGTTCCCAGGAACCCTGCGGGGCCCAGCACAGAGCGGGTGCTCAAGCCACTCAGGCCTAAAGAGTGAACAGCACTGTGCGTTTGGTGGGCAGTGATTATGACCCCATTTTAGGGATGGGGAAGTGGAAGCACAGACAAGTGGCAGGTCTTGCCCTTATGGCCAAAGCAGAGCCTAGACTTAGTCCTGCGTTTCTGGTCCCAGAGGCAGGGATCTTTCCAGGGCGGCTTGGTGGGAGGTGGGAGGTGGGAGGAGGGTGGGGTGGGGTGGGAGCTGGGTCCTGAGAACCAGTGGGCCAGAGAGATTTGGAGTTCGAATGGCCAAGTTCAGGAAAAGCACAGCTGGGGAGGAGCCAAGGTATTTATTATGCTTGGTCTCCCGCTCCAAACAGAGCTGATGGATGGAGCTGCTCCAGTTCCTATAAACAGCTCTGGCCTCCCTCCCTTCTGCCCCTCCCCACTCTGAGCCACCACAGCCCCAACTGCTTCTGGGTTGGGGGGGGGATTGGTGGAGACGACCAAAGGAGGGAAAGGAGAAGTAAAGAGTCGGGGAAGGAGGAAAGGAAGGAGAAGATAAAACAGGGTCCCAGAGGCAAAAGAAAGTGATGGGAGGTAGAGGATGTTGAGAGAAGATTTTTCCTTTGCCTCTTCACTGGCCAGGCTGCCCACATCCTGCATCCCCCTCTGTGTCCCCTGTGTCCCCTGCATCTGTCTGAGAAGCCCGTTGCCCCCTTCTCTTTCTGAGGGCTGATCTTAATCCCCATAAGTGTTCAAGTCCTGCAGGGTCGGCGTCCTGCATTCAGGAAACCTTTTCTGAACTCACCTTCTGTGTTGGTTCACAGGCCCTGGGGACACAGAAAGGACTCAGGTAGAAGCTCTTAGTCTGGTGGCAGATGAGGCAGGGATCTCCACCGCTGTGGCCCACAGCAGCCTGGGGCTGTGGAGGGAAATCAGGGCAGACTCCCCAGAAGAGGTGGTACAGGCCAGAGTTGAAACAGGAGTTTGGCAGGTGGGTCCGGGTGGGTGAGACATTTCAGATGGAGGAGATGGGAGAGAGCCTGGTGTTGGGAGGTGGGGAACCCCATGGTCAAGACCACTGACTCTGGAGCAGGGCATACCCGGGTTCCAGTCTCAGCTCTGGTGCTTTACCACTGTGGGAACTTGAGCCTCTGTTTCTTTAAAATGAGGTTGATAATAACAGAAATCTCTTCAAAGATGGCAAGAATTACATATAACAATGTACATCAAGTGCTCAGTGCAGGGCTGACCCGGAAGTGGTCACTAACTGTCAGCTCTGAGCACAGGGTTGGAGGTAGCCAGAGAGAGATGGACCGCAGGGCCCTTGTGAGCTGCCTGAAGGACAGGGGCACAGACAGCAGACTGTGGCTCCTGGGCCATGTTGTGGGGGGGGTGACCGCCCAGGGGACTGAGAAGTCAAGGCAGCTAGTGGGCCGTGAGTGCTGCCTGCCTCCCCTCCTGCCCACCAGGCCCAGGAGCCTCCAGGAGTGCCATAGCAGCTTACTGAGTTGAATGGGCTGGATGACCCGGCACCGCAGGCTGAGACGTGGGGAGACGAGGGCCTCCCCTCTCCCTGGAGCCTGCCGGATGCTCTGATGATCTAGTTGGCAGCTGTGTCCATGCTTGGCTGAAAACAGGAATTTCTGCCTTGCTGGAAGTCTTGGCCAGGTAAGCAAACTCCCCTGTTTGCCAGGAAAAGGGGTCAGGGACCTGGTAGGCTCCAGCTGGTGTGGAGGTCCTGGGCTGAGCTCGGCCATGCTGTTGCCTTCCCTTAGGCCTTCACTGAGCACCTACTGTGGGCCAGGCCACTGAGTCACGTGCCTTCTCACCCCCAGCCCCATCTATGAAATAGGCATTTAAAATTTTCCTTTGGAGTAGGAACTGGAGGTGAGAGGTCAGAGCCCGGAGAAGCTGCCTTGGAGAAATCTCCACGATGTTTGGGGCTAGAGGAGGTGGAGCATTACTGAGCTGGAACCTGTGGGAGAGGAGGCAGGGAAGAGAAGATAGGCACCCACAAAGGGGGTAATGTCTGGGTGCCAGGCAGCTGAGAAGGGGAGACAGGGCCACAGGAGGATAGGCACAGGGGTCTGCAAATTGGTGGGTGGGGGAACTCCCTGCCCTCGTGACCCCACCTCAGAGGCGCTCACCCGCCCCCCACCCCCACCACAGGTGAGGTGGCTCTTGTCCCTTCACCCAGACCTCACAGCCCACACCGTCACCCTCCAGTTCCCTTCCAGAAACCAGGCATGCTCTTCTTCAAGGTCAGTCTTGAACTGCAGCCTGACCACTTGCTCAATTCTCTGGCCCCTGGGAGACCTTTAGCTCTCCAGCTGGGGAGGCCTCTGGGTATCAGGTATCAGAGCTGGATGCTCAGGGCTGGCTGGGGTTGGAGACAGAGATATGGGCATCATCAGAGCGATGGAGTGGTTACGACAATGAGGGTGATGACATTCCTGAGGGAAGAGGGCCTGGGACAGAGTCCTGGTGATCACCACTCAGATGCCTTGAGGAAGATGAGCACATAGCAGAGTCCGAAAAGGAGCAGTCTGAGAGCAAGATGGAAACCAGTGGGGCGGGGGTGCCTAGATGCCAAGGAGAGTGTGCCGAGGGGAGGGCATGGGGGACAGGGAGGATGGGGTGAGAGACCCCCGCAGCTGAGGGGTCAAGGAGGTCCAGTCTGGAAAGAACACAGAGTTCAGCAAAGGATATCCTTGGTGACCTCAGCCAGGGCAGTGTGCAGGGAAGGGAGGGCAAAGGCACGTGGGGTGGGTTGAGAATGGAGGGGAGGAGGAGGGGGCTACTTCACCAGCAAGTAAGGAGGAGGAAAGGGAAAGTGGTTTAAGGGTCTTTTTACTATTTTTCAGGTAGGCAAGACTTCAGCACAGCCACGGTGTGAAAGGAAGACGTGAAGAGAGAAGAGAGGCTGCAGAGGGAGGCCCCAGAGGGTGGGCAAGACAGATAGCACGGCTTCTACCATGAGGCAGGGGGCTGAGCACAGAGAGAAGGTGAGAACAGGAGCTACCCAAGAAGGAAGGGCTGGGTGGGGTCAGGACCCGTTGAGTGTGAGGGTCAGAGGTGTGGCAGGGGAATGAGGGCTGAGGCCCCACGGTCCAGAGTGGTGAGGACCCAGAGCCTCAGTCTCCCCTCAATGGGGTTCTCCATGAGCATTCAAAGACCGGGATGGAAGTAGAGGGAGCCCAAGTGGACGCAGTGATGCCAATGATCCGCGGCAAGGAGGAAGCTGGCAGGCCACACTGTTTCTCCAAAATTATATTTTAATACATTCATGTGGGTTATACAAAGAGCTGGTCCCCAGGCGGGAATTGCGGCCTGGCTCCTTGAGGTGAGAGCAGCATTGTGTAGTGTTTTCAAAAATCAGGCCTGAAGGGGCCCACACCTTGCCCTCCAGGCCTGGGGAAGAGTGTTCTGGGCAGTGAGCACCTGTGGTTGTGATTCCAACCAGGACTGGGTCCACCTGGCTGTCCCACATGCCACCAGGGCCCCAGGCTGAGGCCAGGACACCAGCTTCTAGCCCCGGCTCTGCCACTGACTCCCTGAGTGCTTGACCCTCTCTGGGCCTCAGTTTTCTTGTCTATAAAACGGGGCAGAGAGAAGGGTGTTTTCATTGTCTCACACTTTACCAAGCACCATCATGAGCCAGACCACGGGCCAAGTATGGGTAAGATAGTGAAGACAACAACAGAGGGTCTTGGGCTGGCCCCAGGGCTTCCTGGACAGCCCATGATTCCAAGGGCATGGGGAATAGGGGGTTATATCTAGATGGGCTTTTCTACCCACTTTGGTAGGGGGGAAAAAGTCCCTGCATGACGAGGACCCGAAAGCGTTTGGAGCCAGCGTTATCTTGTGATAGGACAGCTGGGAGAGAAGGAAATCACTCAGGTCCAGCCCCCAAATCCCCTTCACACCCCCAATGAGGTCTGAATCCACTTGGGTCACGGGCTTTACCACTGGCTTGTGAAGCTCTGAGCAAGTGCCAGGCTCTTCCTCAGCCTCAGTTTCCCTATCTGTGCAATGGGGAGGTTGGATTCCCCGGTCTCAAACTCCAGGCTGTGCTCAATGGAGGAAGAGGGAACGCAAGAGCAAAAGGTGAACACACACCAGTCTGCAAACGAGGGAATAGGGGAAACAGGCAGAGAAGGAGGCAGCCTGTGTCTGCCTGCCCAGGAGAGAGGAGGGAGAGGAGTGGGTGGGGATTGCGGCACGGGATGCTCCCAGGCCCTGCTCCCTCGATATGGGGCCATTTCCTGTCCACCTAACAGCCGACTGCCCCCGCAGTGGCAAAGGTCAGGCCGGGGAGACAGGCGGATTTGAGCCTGAATCTCAGGTCTGGCATTTCTTAGCTGCAGGACCCTGAGGGGAGAGTTCTGGAGTTCTTGTAAAATGGTTAATCCCCACCTCAGAGGGCTGTCCTGAAGAGGCAGACCTGTTCCCGCTGCCGGCAAGCCTGGGGCAAAACAGAACCTGGTACCTAAGGTTCTAACTCCTGGCTCACCAGCCAGGGTGGGGGCACTGGGGACGACCAGGGCGCCTGCGTAGGGAGTTGGGGGCCTAGAGCAGTACTGGGGTGAGTATGCGCACCCCGAGAGTGCTGGGCAGGGAAAGAGCTAGTTCGGAGCAGGAAGTGGAATGGTCGGCCCTGGGGCCAGAAGCCCAGGCTCCGCAGGAACTGCTGCAGCCCCATAGCCGGATCCAGGACCCACTCACATGGCTGCTCTTCCGCTCACAAGCTCTTCGTGCGCCAGAGAAGCTGAAAGTCAGTATGGGAAGATGTGACACACAGTCCGCTTGGACACGTCTCAGACAAGTGTCCCTGGTCTCGCCCCTGCTGCGCTCTGGCCCTGGCGGGGCAGGACTCTCCGCGCCAGCTGGGGCTGCAGCGTCCCGGAGCCCTGGCCTTCCACTCTGCGCGGTCACTGCGTGGCTTCGCGACCCCCTCCCCCCCAGGACTCGGAGCTGCTTCAGGGCAGGGGTGTGTCTCCTCCACCGGAGCAGGATGGGGCACAAAACAGATGCCTGGCCGAGATTTGCTGATCGGGCAGGTCGACCTTGCTCTCTGTCACTCCTGAAACTGGCCAACTTCTGGCCTCCACAGCCGGACCACACGTGTGGCCTGGGAAGTGGGTCGCCTACCAGGACAGCAGCACATGAGGAAAGGAGCCCTGGGCTGGGATGTAGAGACCAGCGTGCCCCGACCCGGGCTCCCCGTGTGACCTTGGGTCAGTCCCCACCCCCCGCTGTGCTCCAGCTGCCCGGCTCACCTGGGCAGGTCTCCCGGCTGCACCGTTCTGCCGCCCCCGGCTTCTCTAGGCTTTGTACTGCTGGCCGAACTTCTGCCGGCGGACACAGCAACAGGTGGCCAGGGTGGTGAGGAGGATGGCTGAGACCAGCGCAAAGGTGAGGATGATGATGAGGTTGACGTTCTTGAGCCCCCCCTTCTCACAGTCCTCGGGGCGCACGTGGCTCAGGGCCACCTCCTCCTGGGAGCCGAAGCGGCAGGTCAGGTCCTGGGTGCCGTCCACGTCCACACGGCCTTGGTGCAGCTGGGCGGCCAGCCAGCCATTCCCGCAGCAGCTCAGCGGATTGCCCTGCAGGTAGAGGCGCCGGAGGCTGGGCTCCAGGCCACCCATGGCGCTGCCGGGCAGGAGGCTGAAGCTGTTGTTCCTCAGGTCCAGTACCTCCAGGGACACGGCCTGCGTCCAGGCGGGCAGACGGCTCAGGCGGTTCTCGGCAAGGTTGAGACGCTTAAGGCAGCTGAAGCAGGGCAGGTCCACTTGCAAGACGGCCAGCCCGTTGCCTTGCAGGGCCAGGACCTCCAAGGAGGCCTCCAGGCCTGCCAGGGCCCCTGTGACCACGTCCAGCCCGGGGTTCGCAGAGAGGTCCAGCTCGGTAAGCGGCGTGTGGAGGAAGGCCCCCGCCCGCAGCCGCTCCATCTCGTTGTCCACCAGGTTCAGGATGCGGAGGGAGGAGAGGCCAGAGAAGGCCACACACCCCAGGGCTCCAGGCTCCCCCGGGCCCCCACAAGGCCTGACCCGGTTTCCCTGAAGGTTCAGCCTCTGCAGACTGGCCAGGCCAGCAAAAGTGTACGGGGGCAGGTCCTGCAGGGCGTTGTCCTGGAGGAGCAGCGTCCGCAGGGACCCCAGCGCTCTGGAGGCCAGCGCGAGCGTCACCAGCGCGTTGTGGCTCACGTCCAGGTGCACGAGGCAAGGCAGGAAGCCGGCGCGCAGCACCGCAAAGCCTCGCAGGCAGTTCCGACTGAGATTCAGGAAGCGAAGGGAGGTCAGGGGCTCCAGAAAGCCCTCGGGGACCAGCTCGATCTCATTGTAGCTCAAATCCAGATTCAGGAGCTGGGAGAGGGGGTGGCTGCTGGCGTTCCGGCTGGGGTTCGAGAAGGGCAAGGCCGACCAGCCCTCAGAAGGTGCGTGGATGCCCTCGCCGCCCTGGGGTGGCCCTGCAGGGAGCCGGATGAGGTTGTTGGACACGTTCAGGTAGATGAGGCTCGGGAGCGCGGCCAAGTCGGGGAAGTGGAGCAGTTTGTTCTCCCGCAGGTCGAGCCAGGCCAGCTGATACTCGGCCCGGGGCTCGGGGGCCGTCTGAAAGGCCTCAATACTGTTGCAGCTCAGGTCAAGTACTCGCAGCTGCTGGAGGCTGAAGTCGGAGATGCAGGTGAGGGAGTTCCTGGAGAGATTCAGGTGGGCCAGGTGGGGCAGGGCCTCGAAAGCACCGTCCTCGATGTCCATGAGCACGTTGCTGTGCAGGTCGAGCCGCTCGAGCGCAGGCGTGCCCCAGAAGGTATGGCGGGCCAGGCGGGTCAGGCTGTTCTCGGCCAGCGAGAGGGCGCGCAGGGCGGGCGCCTCCCCCAGCAGCCGCTCCACCAGGCCACTGTACAGGCTGTTCCCTGACAGGTCCAGAGATGTCACACGAGGCAGGGGGCCCAGACCAGGGGTGCTCAGCATGGTGCCCGCTGCCAGGCGGTTACGGGCCAGGTTGAGGTGCTCCAGGTGGGGCAGGGCCTGGAAGACACCTGTCTGGATGAAGCTGATCTCGTTGGTGCTCAGGTCCAGGTGTCGAAGGGCCACGTAGAAGCCCAGGGGTGAGGCCAGGATGCTCCGCAGCTGGTTTCCAGATAGGTCGAGGGCCTCGATGTCCCGTGGGAGCATCGAGGGGACGTGGAGCAGGCCAAGACCCTGGCACGAGACCTGCTTGTCGACCTGGGGTGGGTTGGGGAGGACAGGGAGAGCAGTGGGACTGAGTGGGTACAGCACGGGGTGGAACCAGACACACCTTCTAGGAAGGATGCCTCAAGCCCCTCCCCAACCCCAGCCAGGCTTAGCTAGGCTTCTCCTCTGGCTCCCAAGGTGCTCCACATTTCTCCCCCCGCAGCCCAATCCTCCCACATCTGGACGATCCCTATCTTGCTCCCTGCCCCCATCTCTGGCACTCAGTACTGTGCGGGGCATCAGAGAGGGACTTAAGGAAGTTTGATGGATACATAGACACAGAAAAGACAGATATGAAGACAAACGAACTCACAAAACACCCTATACTGACTATTATCCCATTTCACAGGAAATTGAGCCATATATCGCCTGTAGGGACCCCAAGCCAGTGAACAGCAGGGTCGAGCTGGAACCTCGGGCCTCCTGGGTCACATCCTGGGTTCCTTTTATGGGCCCAGATAGTTAAATTTACCCAGCGGCTGTTACACCAGAAACCATTTGGGGAGAAATGTTTCCAAAATGCAATTTGCACTCCTCTCACCGGTTTTTATTTTGGCCTCCTACCCTCAGCCCTCATTCCAGCCCTCATTCCATGGGGCAGAGCTCCGGGTCCCGGTGCCTGCCTTTCTCGCCACGGACCCCCAGCTGAGACCTCCTTTCTGCTGCTTCCACCTGCCCCACCTCCATCAGTGGCCTGGCCCTCCATGGCCTGGTCCAGATTGGCCCCTGGAGATGGGAGTGGGGGTAGGAAGCTGGGGGAAAGATGGCCAGGGTCCCAACCCACATTCTTGGGTGACAAGACTATGGTTTTGCTATGTAAGCCTCACCAAGTCCCATTACCACTCCGGGCTACTTATCCAGAAAGCAGCACCCTTCCCCAGCACCCACTCAGCGTTTTACATTTTATTTAGCACGTTCAGGCCCATGGTCTCCCTGGAGCCTCACAAGAGCTAGCACATCAAATATGATCACCCCTCTGTTCAGAAACCCAAGCTCAGAGAGGGTGGGGGGGGCTCCGGGGTCACCCAGCTGAGGAGCAGCAGAGCTGGGGTTTGAACCCATATCTGTTCACAACCAAAGGCCAACTTCATTCTTCTAAGCACATGTGCCTTCCAGAGCCTGATTTTTTTTCTGTGCAAATATAGTCTCCCTCTCACCTTTTCAAAGACCCCAGGAATCCAGCCTTTCTCAGGAAAGGGTCTGACTTCCCCAACCACCCAGCTCAGGCCCACTCCCGCCCTGGGCTTTCTACATCCACCGGCCCCTTCTGACCCCTCCACCTGCCTAATGCCTGGCAACGGCTAAAAGAAAGCCTTCCCTCTGTGCTACTCTCTGCTTCCACCCCTCCCGGGCAAAACCCAGGACATTCAGCAGGGTTCAAGGCTGTTTGTGGCTCTTGCTGACCTGTCCTCTCTCCACCCAACCCACTCCCAACCCACTCCAGCCCAGCTCATGTGCAGTGACCACACCTGACCACTGCCCTCTGTGCCCTCGCACACCTACCTCTGGGCCTCCTCCCTGCTGTTCCCTGCACTGGTCATCCCTCCCCCTCCCCAGATGTGTTTGGTGTACTTGGTGTTTGGTGTACTGAGCCGGGCAGGTGGGGCCTCCTCTGGGCTCTCACCACCCCGGTGCTCCCTCTCTCATAGCTTTGGCCTCTGATTGTGACAGTCTATGTGGGTCCTGCCAGGCAGGGAGCTCAGAGCTAACAGGGATTGGTGTGATTGGTGTGGATACCTTGGACCTGGCCCACAAAAGGTGCTCAGTACATTTTTTTAATGAATGAAAGAGTCACGGACATCACTGGCTTAGTAAAGGACTCAGAGATTGAATCAATCACCTCTCTGAAAGGAAAGAAAAGAGACAATCCATGTCTTCTAACTGACCATTAGAGTAAAAAGACTCTGGCTCCCCCACTTCCCTGATGGGGAGGCAGAACCTGAAGATGGCAGTGACCTGTGCAAGGTCACAATGAGTGGCGGAGGGCCCCCCCCAAGCAGGAACACCAGCCTGGGGGTGCTCCCTGCCTGGCCCAGCTCTTGGCTTCCTCCCCAGAGCTCCGAGGGGAGTGCGGGGGAGGGGAGGGGGACAGAACTGCCTTCATCAGGCACCTGGGTGACTCTTCCCGCTCCTGGTAGTCCAGGGACTTGGCCCTACCACCTCCAACCAAGCAGCTTCCTCGAGGCCTCAGAGGCCCATGGATACCGCTGCACCTGAGCTCCCCTCTAAACCACAAGCCTAGCCCGGCCACCTTGCCAGCCCTGCCTGGCTCTTGGCTTCCTCCCTCACAACCTCTCCACCAGCTCAGGCCACGGGGCATGGCCTCCTCTTCCCTCTCCTCAGCTCCCTGGACCATCCTGACTGAAGGAAGAAACAGCAAAAGGAATAGCAGGACCACCTGTCAAGGAGCACCAGCTCTGTGGAAGGCTCCGTGGCTGAGTGCACAGAGCCCTGGCCTCGTTTAATCCCGGCACGTATTAGTTACCCTGCTGAACCCCGGGGTGAGCTTCCCCCAGATTAGTCAGAGGCTCCAGAGTACCAGCCAAGTTCCTTTTCCTATTGGTGCCAGCCGAGGACCCAGGCTGACTCCTTCTACACGGTAAATAGCACCAGCCAGCATTTGCTGAGCATCTGCTGTGTGGGGGGCACTGGACTGGGATCCACGAGACCCCACACCCCGTTTCATCTCCGCATATCAAAGGCTCCCAAGACACCAGCCCCTGAGAGCTGAGCCAGGACACAAAGCTGGCCAAGCCCAGGGCCTAAGACTTGCTTTCTACTCTGGTGCCCACGAGGCCCAGTGGGGGCCGCTGGTCGGCAGGGCAACACCGGGCTGCCCATCCAGAAGGAAGCTTGAAGGCCAGGGCCGCTCTCAGAACTCTTTCTAAAGGCACCCACGGCTCCCTGAGCTCGGAGCCTCCAGCACGACAGACATAGCCAAGTTCAGAGCTACCCTTGACAACTTGCTACTCACTCTCTCTGGGATGCCAGGATGCCACTGCCCCCATTTTTTTTTTTTTTTTAAGGAAGGAAGAGGACTTGCCACCCAACTCCATTTGGCCTTCTGTGCATAGAAGGGCAACAGGGTAGAAAGAAGTACCGGCAGTGGCCAGCATAGGCTCGGGAGAGCTGGGCTCATGTCCTAGCTCTGGGACTTCCTGTCTGTATGACCCTGGTGTGTCACATCTCTTCTCTGAGCCTTGGTTTCCTCCGCTGAAAAGAGGAGTTCTTTGCAGGATAAAAGGAGAGAAAGCCTTCAGTGTGGTGGGGCACCTCACGAGCCCTTAGTGTGTGGCAATTTCTTTTTACTATTTTGAAAATGATCATAATCCCTGTACTGATCTTCCACAGTAGTTCAGAAAGTGCTTTCCTGCCTATCATCCACCCAGAATCCAAAGCTCACCCAGCCTCCCTCTGCCTGTGGGCTGGTCCGGGCCCTTCACCTCTCTGAGCCTCTCTCCCCAGGCAGAATGTGGCGCTGCATTTGGGAATGTCTGAGGCCTCCTCTGCTGATTATTCTGGGATCTGGGAATCTCAGAAGGGCTCTGAGGAGCAAGAAGGGACGCGGTAACAGCAGGGCACGGCCAACCCCAGGGAAGGGCTGCAGGCCCCTGCCTCTCAGCACTCCCAGAGGCAGCTGCCCCCCCTGTGTCAGAAGCTTCCAGTCCCGGCTCCAAGTGGGGCTGCTGGAGGGCCTGTCGCTTCCCCAGCCCCACTCCCGCCTTGACCTCAGTGACTGCCCAGCCTTTTAAGGGGACCTACATGGTCCCTTTTCCCTGTATCCTGCAGGGTCCCAGTGACTTCAGGGCTAGTCCCCCTGGCCAAGGGTAAGAAAAAGGGACAAAAGGAAATCAAACCTTGTCCCTGCCCTGAAGAAGTTCTTGGTCTACCAAGTGAAACAGGCTTGGACCCATTCACCAACTACCCCATGTGCTCAGTATGAGAGTCCAGAAAATGGCACACAGAACCAGATCAGCCTGGGTGGGGTCGGGCAGGGCTCTCTGGAGGAGGCAGGATTTGATCTGGGTAGCAATGAGTGAGAGGCATCCCATCAGGGAAGCAGCAGACGGGCCAAAGTCAAGGACCTATTAGGAAAGGGGATTTGGCCATGAGGGACCCGGCTAGACCACCCCAAGTTCCCCACACATACATATATTCTAGATCACCCCGAGGGTCCACTGCCCTGCAGGGGCAGCTGGGGGAAATAGAGTCCAATCTCAGCCCCACTGGTCCTAGTTGAATGCCCTTGAACAAGTCGTCTAACCTCTCTAAACTGCAGTTTCCAACTCTATAAAATGGGAATAATGGTACTTACTGACAGGATGAAGAGTACATCAAGTATTTAAACATCCTAGTAGGTACTCATGAAATGCAAGGGTTAAATGCGTTAAATGTGTTCCCTTTCCTCTTCTAACTCCCCTGACTTCTGGCTTGTGGGCTGGGGCAGTAGGACACCCTGGGGGGCTTATCCCGCCTGGGCAGGGCTTCTTACCATCTCACAGGGCACCTTGTCTCCCTGTTGGGAGGTGGCCAGGCCCTGGGTCAGCACGGCCAGGAGCAGCAGGATCTGGTGGCTCATGGCTCTGCAGAGGGTGGGGAGGAAAGGGAAACATTGTAAGACCCCTGGCTCCTTTCCTCTACCAGCCCCCATCGCTCCCATCCTGCCCGTGCCTGCCTTCAGCGAGCCCCAGATCACAGCTAGAGCTGGACCAAAGGTGCCGTGAATGACCGTGGATGCTGGGGTCTGCAGCTGACCACAAAGGACCTCTCGTGCCAGGCCAAGGAGCTAGGCTGTCACCCCAGGCAGCAAGAGTTTTGAAGCAGGTGGGTGACTTGGTCAGATCAGGGTTTCAAAAGACCCTACCTGAGGGAAGACTGCCTGCAGGGGGTGAGCGGGAGACAGAGGGACTCTAAGGGCTGCCTGGAGCCAAGCTCAGGGCTGTGGTGGGGTCAGGTGGGGAGCTAGGCCTCTGACTGCATTTCCACCCAGGTCCTAAGCAGGTCCCCCATCTTAGTTTCTTAAGCCCCAAACGGAATTCCTCAATCTCCCCACCCCTAGACTTTTATTTTGCCCTTTTTCTTTTGATTTTCTGATTCTGGAGTCCCTGCCATTGTTTGAAGGCTGGGCCTGGAGCCCTGACAGGAAGCCCCGCCAGGAGGCCTGCCCTGCCCCCAGCACTGTTGCTGCGGACTTCCCCAGGAGCAGGCTCCAGGCCCTTTACTTTCACTGAAGTTACCACCAGCGCAGGGGGCCACTCGGGCCTGCTGGTGTTCTCTCTATGTACAACCAAGGTGGCGTTGAGGGGAACCGCAAAGTCAAAGCCCAGTGCTGCGAGGGGCTCACTTACTGAGGACTTGGCCCAAGTGCTAGGAGTACACATCAAGTCTCTTTCTTTCTTTCTTTCTTTCTTTCTTTCTTTCTTT